GCCGCTGATGGGCCGCACCGTTGGTGGTCGTGTCTGTTATGTATTCCCGCTGTGTGACTGTGGTGTAGTCGATAGCGACATGAGCCGCGATTGCTGTACGATGACCGCAGAAAATTATGGCGAGGATAAGCCTGACTGATAGAATATATCGATAGTAGATCCACTGCGAGCTGCAGGACTCGTTATTTGTGCGCGCGGCTCGAGCTCGGCGTTCGCCCTATATTCATGATCGGGGCCTCATTTCCTCAGCCTCTGCGCGCATCGCACAGCCGTCTCTGCCCTAACCTCCATCCACGACAGTCGCAGCTCATCCTCCGTGGGCTCTAGCCAGTCTCAGCGCCGTCTGCGAAACCGTTTTTGCTCTAGAGTCGGCCTCTCATCATATGTCGGAGCCTGAGCTGCTGACCTACATGACTGGCACAAACGACGACTTTGATCTCCCTCGCTGGAGTACGCAGACTCATGATGGCTTGTCGTCTTCCGCACAGGCTGCCCAATCTGCTGCCCAAGCTTCCTACCTCTACGCCCAGGGGCCTCCCCCCTCTGGCGGCGCCAACCGTTTGCCTCCCATCCAGCAGTCTTCGAGCGGCTCCTCCAGACCGCCACGCATCTCACAGTTGCTTGACGAAGATCAATCGTACGCGATGAGCTCCCTCCCATACGCGTCAAACAGCCAGCTTGGTCGCAGTGTCTCCTTGGGTGGTGCAGGCTCATCGTCACGAGGGCGCCGTCACCACTTACAGGACGACTTGGAAGGGGCCTTTAATGTTGAAGGTGACGCTGGCCACCGACACAGCCAGCAAGGTGTTCAGGCGGCATATCCTTCGGCTGATACGGCTAACGACCCTGGAGGAGCTACTCAACAGTATGGGGTCACGTTCTACGCAACTTCCGGCGCCCACCAGCCGAAACGAGCACAGACCCAACACGATGCGAGTACATCCTCACGCGCGCAGCGTTCGCCACATCGAGGTGCTGCGACGAACACTAGTCTCCTTGATCCATATTCTCCTCAACAGAACCAGTACTCTTCGTCCGCGGCCGGCACACCTTATGCGTATTCACCTTCGTCTGAACAGCAGCGAGCATACGTTCCCGGAGGTTATCAATCTCATTCTCAAACACATTCGCGATCACAGTCTCAGGTCAAAGGGGAAGGCATGACGCCACCTATACCTCCACCTTATTCCCCGCAATCATCCACCCAGACCTTTACAAATGCGTATCCCATGGATACTACCAGTCCCGCACCTCCATCACAAACTCTTTCAGCTCATCGCCCTGCGAAGCAAACATCGGTATCTCAGCCTGCAACTCCTTTGTCGTATGGACATCCGTCTCAGAGTCCGCATATACAGCCTCAGTACTTTGGGCAGGACCACCAACCGATGGCAATAGAGGTGCCCCCTCCTAAACGCCGTGCATCTGGACTAAGGAGGGTGAGAGATCATCGCGACTTGCGACCGCACATCGAGTCGCAGCCGGGAAATCGGCGTATAGATACGAACGGGGTGTACCTTTCGGTAAGTCGCGCTAGGCTGATCATGCCTCGTCTTACGTATTTTCGCATCTCCATAGCCAATCAGGCTGCTCACCACGAACATCGTTGAAACATATCATATTTGCAACCCACAATTCAGATATGAGTCGACTCATAACCCGCGGCGCGTTCTCACAAAGCCTAGTAAACCTGCACACAACGATGGTTACGACAATGAAGATTACGATTACATTCTGTATGTGAACGACTGGCTTGGCACTGACGATGGCCATAAGTGCGTCCCCATTCTATCATCCTGGTACCCAGTCGTTGATTTTGACTTAGGTACCTCATACTGGACATACTTGGGCAAGGGACCTTTGGTCAAGTGGTTAAGTGCCAAAACATGAAAACGCACGAAGTAGTTGCAGTCAAGGTTGTCAAGAACAAACCAGCGTACTTCAATCAAAGCATGATGGAAGTGACGATCTTAGAGTTGGTATGTGCTTTGTCGCCGAAAGACAAGCGTATATCAACTTAAACTTTCATTAGCTGAACAATCAATGCGATCCACACGACGAACATCATATCTTGCGGCTCCGTGATTCTTTCATCCACAAAAATCATTTGTGCTTGGTGTTCGAGTTACTGTCGTCTAATCTGTATGAGTTAATAAAGCAAAACCAGTTCCAAGGGTTGAGCACGCAACTAGTGAAGGTGTTTACGGCACAACTCCTGGATGCCATGACCATACTCAAAGACGCGCGACTCATCCACTGTGACCTCAAGCCAGAGAATATACTTTTGAAATCGTGAGTGTTTCGCCTGCGTTGTTCGTACTGTACATACTCATGATTTTGTAGTCTTCAGTCACCTCAAATCAAGGTCATCGACTTTGGTTCAGCTTGCCACGAGCGGCAAACGGTCTATACGTACATTCAGTCGCGGTTCTACCGCTCACCCGAAGTTCTACTGGGGATCCCTTACACGGCTTCCATCGATATGTGGTCACTAGGATGCATCGCGGTAGAACTCTTCTTAGGGCTGCCTTTGTTTCCAGGTACGAGTGAATACAACCAGATCACTCGAATAGTTGATATGCTTGGGTACGATATCGTGTTTTCTATCATGATTCCCTGTTAACACACGAGCCCTATAGGACGCCGCCACAGTACATGCTAGATATGGGCAAGCAAACGGGTCAGTTTTTTGACTCAGTCGCGGATGTCTATGGGCAAAAGAAGTATCGATTGAAGAGCCTTGAACAATATTCTCGTGAGCACAACACGCAAGAGCAGCCTGGGAAACAATATTTCAAGGCAAATTCGCTACCGGAGATCATTCAGCAGGCGCCGATGCCGACTTTCAAGTCGGCGTCTCGTCAGGCTCACGAGGTGGAAAAAGGTGTGCAATTCCGACGCTGTTGTGATAGTTCTTGTTTGTTCAATGAAGCTTTCGTCAACCAGAAATGAACAATCGAGCTTCTTTCATCGACTTCTGCCAGGGACTTCTCAACATGAATCCAATAGAAAGATGGTCACCACAGCAAGCGAGGATGCATCCATTCATCACCGGAGAAAAGTGGACCAAGCCGTGGACGGTGGGTCATCCTCGGATCATATTATGATGTTCCATTGTCTGACGCAGTCGTTGCAGCCTGCCGGCCAATCTAGTGCGCAAGTGAGCCCACCCGCTGCCAATGGCCCAGATCCCAAGCGACCGTATGGAGGTCTTGTTCCATCTCAGCCTAAGGGCACTCGCGCCTATCAAGATGCGGCTGCGTACAATCAGCATCTTGCTCAGCACCAGGCATATACTGCTCAAGCTCAGGCTGCTTCGCAAGCTGCGCAGAATGTTTATCGAAATCCCTACATCACCCCTCAAACTTCGCAGCAGGGCTCGTCCACATATCCGGCGGTACCAGAAAATGCAGCTGCTAACGCTGCAGCGAGTTACGCACCGCCGCCGCAGTACAGTGCTTCGTCGCAATCGGGCTCACACCGTGGGCTGACTCATCAGACATCTCATGGTCAGCTTAATGTCAATACTAACGTTTCTCAATACGGAGGCCATCCATCTGCGGGCGGATTCAATACCCAACCCCACTTGAATCCACCGGCGCCATCAAATTCGTACTATTCCTCGTCTCGTACACGTTCAAACACGATCCACAACATGATGGATAACATCCCTCCTGCTCTGGCGCGACTGCAACACATGAACCAGGATGTGATTGGCGGTCGCAAGGCGTTAACGCCTGTGCTTAAGCGGGATGACGCGATACGGGAATGGGAGAGACGTCAGTCGGGTAAGGCAGCGGCGGCACAGCCATACCCACAACTTGAGCTTCTTCAGCAACAAGCCGAACTTGCGGCGACGCAGGGTTTGAACAGTTGGGGGCATCCAGGATCGTCCACTCGTTATCAGCAACAACCCACTTCCAACCTCGCGCACCCCTACCATCCTCCTGCCTCTATGGCTGTGGACGACGATCGTCGAGAGGCTATCCTGTCCAACGTGCGATCCGCGGCGCGAACTGATCCTGCCAATGCGAATTTGTTCGGGTCGACATCGAATGTTATACCTAGTCCGCCTCAAGCATATTCAAGCAACTCGACGACAGCAGGAAATCGGTACGCTGCAACATACACCCAACAGCAGCAACAACAAAATCCCACGTCGCCCTTCGATTCTATGGATCGGCGGACAGATATCGGCACTTTGTACGTTCCTATGCAGCCTGATCAGTACGGACCATACAACAACCAAGCAGCCACATCTCAGCCCCATGGCGCGTCCTCACGCCAAGTTGCTCCTCCTGCCCAGGCCGTGCCGCCATCATTCTACGGTGCTGTACCACCTACAAACAATCAGCAGCGCAATCCTTTCACTGCAGATCAGGGGCAGACCAGCGCGAAGGAGAATCGAAGGAAGAGCGGCATGGATGTATGGCCACAATGAGCGATGCTGTCTGCGTTGTAACCTTTGTTCTTGGTCCACTACCCATTTCATCCCAAAACCTCTTCGAGAACAACTGACGTCTGCTTTCTACCCACTCGGGATTAAATTCCTTGCATTGTTCCTCGCGCAGAGTGCCTCTTATGTTCTACATGAACGAACTGTTTGCAATGTCCAGGAGTACTAGTATCTCGTCCCACGCTGTAGCTTTCCAAATATATGATGTATAATCATCCAACTGTACGTAGCAGCAGACAGACGTATCGTTTCTTTTCTTCATTGCTTCCTTTCATTTCTAGTGCATGTTCTATATACAGCAAAAGTGAATGCTCAGGGTCCCGTTTATCGAAGCTGATTGAATATCTCCTCTACTTCCCAAGCACCGGCCCAATATCGGACTTTGCACTTCAGCCGCCCTTCTTGTTCATACTCCGATATGAGCTTTTCTAGTCCACGATAGCGTCTGCAGAGCACCATATCTTGGCTAAAAATGTAGGATGAGATGCCGTTCACCATTCGAGAATGGCAATCACCTTCTCAAACGTAATATGGGACAGAAGTCATTCGCCCCATCTCCAACATATATAATACGATCATACGCAGGCTGATGCCTTTCTAAGAAAGCTTCCAGTTCCTCACCTGGTGCACTGTCGTCTGTAGGAAACTCCGAAAGGACGGAAGACTATACGGTACCTTTGCACATATTAGGACTGCAGCCAACCATGCAGCCATGCTGGGGTCCGTCTGGATCAATTCTTCTCCGCAATTTGAGCAGACCCAGAGAATCCCATTCAGCGGGATTGGTTATGATCTCTTCGAAGAGAGTCTCTAGACCGTGGGCCTATCAACAGGTGTAAGATAAGATGGCTCTTCGCTTCAAATCAGTTACCTAAGTACCGACTTTGAGAATCGTGGTAATGAAAACGATGTTTGCGTTTGATAAACAAAAAAAGGTAGTCTGTAGGCTGGATCTAGCCTTGAGGTTTCTTACACCGCGAGCCATCGCAGGATGCTGGGCGATTGTATGAATTGGAGCGTGGAGTTGGAATGCGGAGTAATACAGACAAAAGGCATCATCCTAAGCGCCCCTTCAATATCATCTCTTGTTCTTCCCCTTGCATGTAGATCTTGCAGGCATGAAGCCCTGTGAGTATTGATAACTATGAGAGATATAACGTTGCGTAAAATAGGATCACCTACATGAGATCGGTCCATTGTACCTCGCGTTTGAGGTCATTCAACTTTCGTCGCAACTCAGGGCATAAAACTTCGAATATCCATCGATCTGAGTCCTGGTCAACCAACGACCTACATGTGGGGGTGAGCTATTCTGAGCTGTGGACAAATTTGAGGACGTACCAGTCAAAATCGAATACAACAAGCTGTCGTTTGATGAATTCAGACATATCCTAGCAGATATACGCTCGAAAACACAGTCGTCAATATGGTAAAGATAGTGCGGACGTTACAGGAAGTTTAGCTTTACTACGACTAAACGTTGAGCAAATGAGTCAAGATCTCATGCGACCTTAATGAATCCACGTGATCGTTCAGCTTACCTAACTGCCTCTCGCCGGCGCGTTAGCACTGTAGGCTAGTAATGCCACCTACCATCTGCACCGCGAAAGCCTCGTATAAGAAGCTATCCGGACTTCTTGAACTCACGAATTCTCACTTACAATGGACTCAGGATGGCAAAAAGACCTCCACTGTTCGCGTACCCTACGCCGAAGCTACATGTTAGTTTGTAGCAGACCGCATTTTCTGCATACTGAATATGGAATTAACCATCGACGATTTTAAGCTCTTTTCTGCAGCAAAGAAGGTGCTCCTCAGGTTCGGCTGAAGTTGGGCCTAGTTGGAGATGATACTGGCCATAATTTCACGTTCACGTCGCCTCAACCTGTGGCGCTCGCCGAACGCGAGAAGTTCAAAACCGAGTTGACCAACATCATAAGTCGCAATCGCAGCAGTGTTTCTACTCCACTTGCGAAACCCTATACTACGCCTACCGCACCTGGCACACCCGTTCCTTCGAATGTACTGCCGTCGAGGTTGTCGTCGGT